AAGCAGCTGATCGATGTTTCTCTCTCATCGATGTTTCTAACTCTCTATCCCTCTCCCTTCCTCTCTGTAAAAAATCAAAAATATATTTTTAAAAATAAATAAATAAAAGCACACATATTTTTTTTTAAAGCTGATCTAATACGTTGAATAACGCTTGTTAAATTACTTTATTCCTCCATGGGGGGAAAAACTGTCTAGGTTGGAAAACTTTAAATCACCTTTCATCATTTCATCTGACAGACCCTACCAAAATTACATCAGGGTGAAATCTCCTTGACATGTTGTGTTAAGGGACTAGGATAATGGTGTAAGTTAACATGATCTTTATCTTTTGAAAATTATGACTTGATTTGTTATATCTGAAACAATATATAATTCTCCCAAACATGGGTTATTAAACAACTCCTCTGCAATTCCCTAACCTCCAAAACATCACCATTAATCTGGACAAAACAATTTGGAATATGTGCTAGGATGACAATTTACCTTTCTAATAAAGAACATGTTAAGACTATAAGTAATTTTGAAGTATCTAGTACCCACTTATATCACATAATGTAAAGGAAAGAAAGCAATCACCTTTGACTTAAATTTCAATTCCTTGTTCTCAATTAATAAATATGCCCCTTGGTTAGAGAATATTTTTTTTATATATTTTATTGAGTTTTTACAGAGAGGAAAGGAGAGGAATAGAGAGCTAGAAACATCGATGAGAGAGAAACATCGACCAGCTGCCTCCTGCACACTCCCCACTGGGGATGTGCCTGCAACCAAGGTCCATGCCCTTGACCGGAATCGAACCTGGGACCTCTCAGTCCGCAGGCCGACGCTCTATCCACTGAGCCAAACCGGTTTCGGCAGGTTAGAGAATATTTTGTCTACCTAGTTCCAATGACAAGTACATGTTTTGTCCTTTGTCAAAAGGAAGGTGACAAGAATCGACATATTCTGATTCCCAGGTCCATGAGTTTATGTTTTATAATTAGTCAACAAACTGTAATTATATCAATGAAAGATTTTTGGTACTTTTATTTCTTAATACTAGTATATCTGAAGTATTTCATAATTTTTGTTAATTTAAAAATATACCCACTCTGAACTGTTTCAGTGTACCACAAACTCCTATGCCTGCCATCTATGACCTGCTACAATCTGATCTGTAGTTCCCAGATTGTTTTTGCCACTTTCTTTCTGCTAATGCTGAGGGAATAGCTAAAAAAACACTTTTCTAGTGGATCCTCTTTTACATTAATAAACCAACCAATTCCTAAACACTGTATCTCTCAGGACTATCTACAGCTCAGTCCAACTGAAATGACCACAGTGTCCCTGGGGCCCCCATGTACCATGAATAAGTGTCTATCTGAACACCCAGAACACTGGAATACCTTTACTGGCTTTCCAACCTGTCTTTCCTGTTACACCAAAAAAGCTCTCAGGGGAACAGGGTATTCCAAATACCAACTAAAGTCCAACAAAATAAAAATGTAAAAACAAAGCGGCCAACCACCATCCCCAACAAAAACATAACAGGAGGTAAAAAAAAAAAAAATAGAAACTCTCCCCCCCTCCCCTCCAAAAAAAAGAAGGAAACCCAGAGTGGAAATCAGACTTAATCCATTAAAATTTTAATCTTAACTCTGAAATTATTTTGGACTGACTACCTGATATGGAAGCATCTCTCACTATAAATAAACAGGTAATTCATAATTGGCTTGCATCCCAGTATGTTCAAAAGGAGTTTAAATGTAACACACAGCTCACAAAAAAGGAAATGAAAACAATCATAAGACGTGTTGTCTTTTCTTCAAGTATATAAAAAGATGTTCACCGTCACTCCAAGCACTTTGAAATGCAATGAAAGCTATATCAGTATATTTTTTTTTCAGATTAGATCAAAGAGGTTGATAACACTTTGTACTAGTGCAAGTGTCAGGGAGCATATCTCTCATACATTGCTGGTTGCTTTGAAATGTTTCTCTAGAAGGGAATTTGGTAATGACTATCAAAAGTTAGAATAGCTCAACAATTCCACCTCAGGAATTTAATCCTACAAATATTTCACACATGTGTAAGAAGATCTACATGCTAATCCTTAACAGTACCATTTGCATTAGCAAGAGATTAGAAACAAAGTACACACCAATACAAGACTGGAAAAAAATTATGGTGCATTCATATACTGCAAAACGATGTAGTCTACTGAAGAAGAGCTAGGAAACACCTGCACATAAATTATATATATTATACATACATACACTTCAATTTATCCTGTGTTTTTTTAATGCGGGAAAAAGGTTTCACTTAAATATCAAATTTGATTAAATACAGAAATGATATTCACCACAGAATTAGATATTATAAAATAAACGCAACATTTTTTACAAATGTTCTCACTAATGTGACACAATACATTTTACTTGTTTTTGATAATAAACTCTAAAGACCAAATTAAATTTTAACTTAGTTCATTTATATCTTATATTTATGACCTTATTATTACACAAGCCAAAAGAACTTATGCTGCTACTATAGGTTTCTTTAAAAGCACTAGAAGTACACTGATTAGTAAACTAAACACAGGTACAAAAATAAAGTTATTAGACTATTTTGCATCAACTCAGTAAATAATAGAATAAGAAATTCTTTCTTCAGTATTTATGAATAGGAATTTGGGCAACAATTTATATATATAAAACCCTAATATGCAAATAGACCGAATGGTGGAAAACCTAACCAAACAACCAGATGCTATGACATGTGCTGACCACCAGAGGGTGCACACGGAACATAACGAGTGTTGGCCGTGGCAGAATGGTGGAGGTGAGCAGGGGTGCCAGACCAAGGTGGGGCGCCAGTTGCTGTCACTGGGGTGAGCCTCTGGTGGTTACTGAAAATTCTTTCCTCCCGTGCACCGTGGCCCGCCCGGCACTCACACCTGCTGCTGGCACCCAGTGCCAGCCCTGATACCCCCTCAGGGCTTCTCCACCTCCCCCTGCTCCTGAGGGGGGATCAGGGCAGCAGCCACCGCTCATACACACTAACAGTGCTGGCCCCACTCACATGCACTGCTGTCACCAGCCCCAATCACTCTGCACCTCAGCAGGGGAGCAGCAGCGGCAGGAGCGAGGCTGCTGGCCGCAGCAGGAGGGGCCGGGCGGAGGTGTGGAGGATGGGCTGTCAATTTGTTCATGAAACAAGGGGCCCCAGCACCCACTGCAGCCTTGCAGCCCACAGTTCCTTTCAAGGTGCACGAATTCGTGCACTGAGCCCCTAGTATAAGATAAATTAAGTCCTAGGTAGAATAGCTTTTAATTTTATGAACTTTACAAATATGCCAAAGAGGATTTCATTACATGTACTCATTACATATAAATAAAATTTTAATTAACCAGTCCATATTTTTAAAAAACTAAGAAGGCTCACTTTCTCTCTCTTTTTTTTTTGGTGCCCTACACAGGATTTCAACCAGCAATCTTCCCGTGCATGGGATGATGTCCAACCAACTGAGCCACAGTGGCCAGGGTGAGGCTCACTTTCAAAAGAAACTTTCCTGATTCTTTTCTGAATGTAAATAATATAATTTTAGATTTTTATCTTTGTTTCTCTAATGATAAAAGCCATGCCACTGTCAATTTGTTCATGAAACAAGGGGCCAGTTTATATAATGTTAGCATTATTATACTTCAATTCTTACCTTCCAATTAACACTCCTTGCTTTCATCTATGAAAACGACAATTTAAAAAAAAAATTATGCCAATATATTTCTTACAAATTACAGCATGAGGCTCTTGCCAAAAAGGACTGTCCTATTGCACAGCTTAGGCACATATTACATGTAAAGATTAAAATGAATAAAGTGAGCCTCTAATATATCAAACTGTGTGCTATTACAGACTGGAGTACCATCAGTCTTTGGTAGTTTTGAGATTTTAAGGTAAACAGAATAACAAAGTAGATACAGCAATAATATTCATGCCTAATACAACTTCTTAATTCACGTTAATTCACAAAATAATCCAGATATTCTCTACTTAGAAAAAAATACAATACAATAAATAAAATGTCAACCACACAATATGCCTTATAATAAGAGGGCTCCTTTGCATCTTGGATATGCTGTGTGTTTTCAGAGTAACTTCATCAATACTAGTATATAAAGGTCAGATGAATCAACAACCACCAATACTGACTGAGAATACAGTTGTGAGCAGAAATGTATCATTTGTTGTCATATAAAACCAACATTAGGTGAAAAACCATAGAAGGCTATTATAAATAAAAAATACTTCAGATATTACCTGGTCCAGTGGTTCTCACATATGGTTGCACATTAAAATCATTTCTGGGCCCTGATCGGTTTGGCTCAGTGGATAGAGCTTCGGCCTATGGACTCAAGGGTCCCAGGTTCGATTCCGGTCAAGGGCATGTACCTTGGTTGCGGGCACATCCCCAATAGGGGATGTGCAAGAGGCAGCTAATCAATGCTTCTCTCTCACTGATGTTTCTAACTCTCTATCCCTCTCCCTTCCTCTCTGTAAAAAATCAATAAAATCTCTTTTTTAAAAAATAAAACAAAATCACTCTGAGAATGTAAAATATACTAATGTCAACTTAATCAGAACTGGGGGATGAAGGACGGGCTGCATCAGTTTGTGCTTTTTTAAACATGCTCAGTGATTCGAAGATGTAGCCAGTAATGAGAATTATCAGTATCTCAGGTTATAAATAAGGGATTCTATAAACCACTATGATCAGTTTTCCCTTCCAAATTTTTCCATATATATAGTGGAAGAGAAAAATGAATTCCACGTTATTTCAGTTGATTTTTTAGTAACGGCATCTTGTAGCATTTACACAGGGTAGAGTTTCAAACTTCAAGCGTAGGGCAATTCATAGACCCTAGTGTTAATGCGCTGCTGTCGGAGACTTCTGAAAAGCGTTGACCAAGCCCTAGCTGTTTGGCTCAGTGGCTACAGCGTCCGCCTGGGGACTAAAAGGTCAAGAGCACATGCCCGGGTTGCAGGCTCCATCTCCAGTAGGGGGGACAGTGCAAGGAGGCAGACGATCAAAGATTCTCTCTCGTCATTGATGTTTCTCTCTCTCTTCCTCTTCCTTCCTCTCTGAAATCAATAAAAATATTTTCTTTTTTAACAAAGTGTTGACCAAGAGAGGAAGGGGGAGATCACCCAATAATTGATGTCTGACGATCAAGTAATGCATTAATGAAAAGCAAACTTTGGAGCCTGTCAGCGCTGGCTCTGCCACACACTGTTAACTTAAGCCTGTGTTTCCTCACCTGTAAAACGGGAATTAACATCATCCTCATAAGTAGACACAAGCGATTAAAAAAGCTAACATAATACCTGGAGATAATAATGGTTTAATAAAAATAAGCTAATTAATGCCTGTTGAGTTTAATTAAAATCAGAAGACCTGGGGGAAGAAAGCCCAGGTCACTTCACAGGCCCATAAGCTTCTTTTCACAAATGCCCCCTAGGTGATGCCAGGCAGAGGACTGGCAAGAACAGAAGACGAGTCGCGGAGGCGAGGGCCTGGCTTGTGCAGCCAAGAGGGGCCCAGAGGCCGCGCATCCCGCCCACAGCAGCCCGGGCCGCGGCGCTGCAGCCCCTCTCGGGGATGAACCCCAGGCAGGCCAACGGTGGAGAACAGAGAACGTAAGGCCCCTCACCTTCACCACAGCCGTGCCCCAGCTGCCCTGACGGCCACTGTCTAGTCCCGATCCAGCCTTGTTTACAACCAGAGCAGCCATCCTTGGAGCAGCAGCGCTGCAGAAGCACCCGAGAGGGCCTCCAACCGAGGGGCGGGGCAGAGCCACCTACCCAGAAGCCTCGGCGCCCGCCACTGGCGCACAGGCGCAATACGACGCGGGGCGGGGGAATGTTCCCAGGGCCGCCTCCTTTCTCCTCCCGCCAGTCACTAGCTTGGTGCACATCCTTGCGCATGGGCGCTTTTTTCTTATTGTTATTAAAGAGTCTGCCACTGATGGAAAGAATAAAGTTAAGAAAAAAAAGTAAAGCTAAATCAGAAGTAAAATGTTGGGATGCAACTCCCGCTCCAAGAGCAAGATATTGTCCCCAGCCGCGAAAGGAAGGGGGACGAGGAGGGACTACATCTCCCTGCATGCAGTGCGGTTTTTATGGAAACTACAATTCCCAGCGTGCCACCTCTGTATCTTTTACGCCACAAGGTCGCAATTTCGGAGGCCGAGTATTGCTCCGGCGAGTGGTGTCGTGCAGTTGCCAAGTGTGAATGCGGATGGGAGGAGGAGTATCCTAGGTATAGGTATCCCACAGGCCAGATGTGGCCTCGGTGAGAAGCCGCCATTGGGTCGTAAAGGACCTGATAAGGAGGGAATTGAAGACACCACCGGGAGGGACTGTGTTTGACGCCCTGCCTACCCGAAAGTGCGTTTTTCTGCTCTCTTCCGAGTCGGATTGAATCTCCTCATCCCCCGTAGGCTCTCGGTGGAAAGTGCCGGTCAAAATGGAAGTGAACCCCCCCAAACAGGAGCACCTGCTGGCTCTGAAAGGTAAAGTTTTGCGAACCCGACTCCCCTTCATCTGTTCTCTCCCCTCCTCTCTCTAGATCTCCAAGTCCTGGCCTCACAGCCCTGCCTGTGGGATGTAGGCCTCGTTCTCCTGACACTCGGTGCACGCCCTGCTGCTGTGCCCCTGCCGAAGCGGCGGGAAGCAATGTCACCCCTGATTTTAGGTTTGAGAGCCTCCCTCTGGAGTGGAGAGAGAGACCAGCCGCGGAGGGGAGGGGATGGCTTGTCAAGCCAAGAGAGGCAGGTCCCTCCGTTGTGTGTGTTGCTGTCACCAGACAGAGCCCAGTCCCAGGAGCTGACGCTCCCACCGCCCCCGGGAGAGCCCTGTGGCCATGGTGACGACGGGCGCCCTCCGGAGCGGTTTTCTCTGGGGTCTTGTCTCGTCCGGCGGCGCGGACAGAGCCTTCAGCTCCATCCGTAAAAGAGCAGTGCCAAAGAGTTAGAAGTACACGGTACGGACATATATATATAATTCAGGTTTGTTAAAAACCTACTGTGGTGTGCTTCGAAATACTGTGTATATGGGAAAGTTCATGTCAGCGTTCATTTTCTGTACCTAGCAATCAACTTGAGTATGCTTGATAATTAGATCATTATTTAGAGGAAAAACAGGTTAGAGTTTTTCTGGAATTCCTGTTGTTTCCTGGAAAAGTTTTAAATGCTTTCAGCTGTATCCGATCTGGTTTCCGTACCACAAATGCACTTTTTAAATTTCTTGGATGCTCTGCTATGTGGTTACTAATCCCTTCTTCGACTGAGCTGAGAAAATGCTCAGTAGACGTTAGAATCCAGTTACATTGCCCTTCCTTGTGGTATCCATTGTGAGGGACCTTCCCTTCCCGAAGCCCGCCAGTCCCATTTGTAGCATAAAATCGTGTACTGATAGCTGGGGGTAACAGGACTGTCTCTGCCTGTATAACTAAGGAAGTGCACTATTAAGTAACATAGCAAAATGCCCAATAAGCTTAGTTTGAGCAAATGAGCTGGACTGAAGTGGGTTATTCCTGAAGAGAAAGAAGAAAAGGTGCTGTCAGGGTCTTTATCTCTCAATCTCACAGCAAGCACGCCGAATAGGGGCTCCAATAGGGGCCCCTTAACGCTCAAAAAGGTTTCCAGGGTCACAAAGCTAATTATTGATTGAGGCAATATTTCAGCACAAGGCCTTCCTTCCTCTTTTCTAAACTTGAAGTTTAGACAATACTGAAAGAATTCTCAGTGTCATTACCTTACAGTGTGAAAATATAAGGGGAAAAGTTAAAGCATTCATTCTTGAAAGAATGTGCTAATTTAAGAAACACTAAAAGTTATGAATATTATGAATTTACAAGTTGTCAAATCTGTTAATGGACATTGACAGTAGGTGAAAATAATCATGAGATGCCTTCTTTTGACTCCTCAGGAAGTGGTCAAATGAGTGTTGACGTCATGCCAGGAGTCCGCACCACTGTTACCCTGACAGTGGGAGAACCCTCATCAAGTAGTTCTTTTAATGATTTTGAGGAGAAGGGATTCAATCTCTCTCTCTCTCTTTTTTTTTTTTTTTTTTAGTGCAGCATATGAAAGAACTTGCAAGTATGGCTTTTGCAGCTTTGTACCTGGTTAGGAAACCTAACTTGCAGATCCTGGAAGGCTCCATTCTTGAGCCTGTGTAATAATATGCTGGAACTTATTATCAATGCTTCATTTGGGACAGCTTGAGGACTTCTGTGTTATAAGAAGAAAAACATAAGGATCTAGCCTTCTTGCTTCCCTCCAAACTGGAATTCAGGAGCCATGGTCTTGATACTGCTGAAGTGCCCTAATTATGCAGAGAAGGCTGTCACAACCAGTCCCTAACCTGGGTAAAATGCAAACTGAAACAATTTTTATGCTTTTAGTGTTTACTACTGAGATGTCTCAAAATTTTAAGTATTATTACCTTTTTTAAATTATCTATCTATGAATCTAGTATTTTAAGAATCACTAATTTTTCTTTGTTTTGTGTATAGTCTTAATATTATTAGTGCCTAATATATTAATATCATTATTTCCAAATTCTTTATTATCGGTTGAGTTAAACATGTTGACTACTAGCATTTTTAAGCTAGAAGTAAGCTGATAGGGCATTTAATCCAGATCCCTTATTTTCATGAGAGAAAGGATTTCCAGTTTTGTGGATTACATTCACATTTACCAATAGTACTTTGGTAAAATAGTATACTGGGATTGGTTTTTGTTTTTCCTTTCCTCCCTGCCTGTTTGTATGTAGGCTATCCCTTCCATATCTTATTCTTTGCAATACTTCCACTTTAGGTCCTGTTTCCCTCTGATTTGGAAAGAGACAGTCTTGTAATTTTAAATTACATCCTAGCTCTGAGGAGCTCAGCTAAGACATTTTCTGTTCATTAAGAGTAATTGGATTACTTCAGAATGACCACAGAAATAATATTGCATTATCGCGCATATGAGAGTGATCCCACACAATTGCTGAAAGTTGCAGAAAAAGCAATTCAAGACTTTCCTACACATCCACTATCAAGATTTATCCCTTGGTTTCCACATGATGGGTCCAAACTTCCGCTCAAACCTAAACGATCACCACCTGTGATTTCTGAAGAGGCAGCTGAAGATGTGAAACAATCCTTAACCGTTTCAGAACACGATGTTAAATCACAGAGTTATGATTGTACAGTAGCGCTCTTGGAGTTTCAGCCTAATTTGAAAGAAAAGAAGCACTTACTCCGGTCACACACACTCAATGAACAGACTGCTTCTGGAAATCGGGATGAACAGTCAGAAAAAGGGAAGCCGCACAAGAAGAGGTCTTGGAGTGTTTCGCTCCCCTGCAGAAATTGTACTGGAGATATTTTTCCTTTGTCTAAAAAATTGCAAGATAGTGTAAAGGCACTAGATTTACACTTATTTTACCGAGCAAGATGGACAATAGATCACACTATATGTAACAACCAAACTCTGGAAGACATTTGGGCAAAACTCAGTAGAATTATCAGGCACAATGAGCTTCCATCTTGTAATGCTACAATTCAGAGACATTTGGGCCAAATATGGGTGTTCTGTGATATTATGTACTGTGAATATGTGGGAAATCTCCTTAAAGGAAGATTAGCTCTTACTGGGAAAATAAATTTATTTGTGCGTAAACATGGTATTATTTTTAGTATGTAATGAATTCCAGTGATTGTCAAAAAGAAGACTATTCTGAATGAACAGTATATACTGAAATAGATTAATAAATTTTTTTACTGGTTTTTGAATTTTTAATTACAATTTTTTTTATTTGAACCTTTGCTAGCATAGCCTATTTATTCTTACCATTGTGAAAAATAATTGTGTGGTAGTATGTGTTCAGTTTGTATCCCAGGAATAAATATCATGTGAGTTTGTAGACTTGTCATTTAAGTCAAGAACTTTCTTGATTCTACTTTTAACAGCCGCTGTTTAAATTAATTGTGATAAATTATTATTTATACTGAAGTTTGAGGTAAAATGTGCCATTCCTTTTCTTTTTGTTACTTTTTCAATGGTTGAGTTATATATTCCTATGAATTACAGTGAATAGTTTGGATTTGGGTAAATCCTTAAAATCTAATTTTTCTAGTATTTTTTCTTTGTTCATCTAAAATGTAATAATTTTTTAAAAATGAAACTAAAACCAGTTTCAGTTTCAGGGAATGCTATTTAAGTGGCATGTATATAGTTCACAATAGGAGACCAGCCAAATTATGCTCATGTTCCCAAAGATATGTAATAGGTAACAGTTGATGTGTTGTCTTGAAACAAAGGTTAAAAAAAATGTATAATTTTCTTAAGACCATATGTATCTTTAAGGCTATATAACATGTTTTGAAAAGAAGTATCAAATATGATAAGAAATCAAGTTACTCTTTATTCTAATACAAGTAATTCCATCTTAATGACTGTTAATACTGGTTACTAGCCTGCTGGTTCTTGAAGTCGTTGGTTTCCCATAACCAAAATGTTATAAAATGGATTTATGCATCACCTCATAGAAATAACCAAAGAACTTATATGGGTATATGCACAGCCCCTGGATACATAATAGTGTGGTGAAGGCCTGGGGGATGGAGTGGGAGCAGGATGGAGGGGGTCATTGGGGGGAAAAAGAAGGGACATATATAATGTTTTCAACAATAAAGATGATTTTTAAAAAAATAACCAAAGTGATTATGGAATAAAAGATTTATAAAAGCATGTATTTATTTAATAAATTTAAATGCCGCCGAAACCGGTTTGGCTCAGTGGATAGAGCGTTGGCCTGCGGACTGAAAGGCCCAGGTTCGATTCCGGTCAAGGGCATGTACCTTGGTTGCAGGCACATCCCCAGTGGGGAGTGTGCAGGAAGCAGCTGGTCGATGTTTCTCTCTCATCAATGTTTCTAGCTCTCTATCTCTCTCCTTTCCTCTCTGTAAAAACTCAATAAAATATATTTTAAAAAATAAATAAATTTAAATGCCTTCTATGAGCTAGGTACTGGGATGTAGTAGGAAAGGACGCAAACATGTACCTTGCCCTCACAGAGTTTACATGGAATTACTACTGTTAAGTAGTAAAACCAAACCCTTGAAAAAACCCAGTAAGAGTGTATTCACCAGCAAGGTGGAGAAATGTTTGCCTTGTGGCATAGTGCCTGGCATCGTAGAGGTCTGTAATACATGATAAATGTGCCCTTTGGAGAGATTCTTCACAGGCTGATATTGCTGTGAGTCTACTAATTTTGACTGAAGAGATCATCTTTTCCAATTAGATTTTACTCTGTTCAAATATTGTTTTGTTTTTGACTATTTTTAGTATCATTTTATTGTCTGAAATGAGACTGCTATCTAGAAAATAAGCAGCATGTGCATGAATGCTTCCAAAAGTCTTTAAATGAAAAATCACCTGTTGTAAAGGGAGTTTCCAAGGTAGCTTCTTCAGTAATGACTTCCTCTTTTGTTCATCGGTCTTACTTTTCAATCCAAGACGGCTGGAGAAATGTCAAGAAGCCATTGAGTCTTGCTAGTGAGCTTTTGAATAAGAGTTGGCAAAAATAAATGGTGAATCTGATTTATATTGTTCAGGTCTTATTTACTGTAAGGTTGTTAATCAAGGATTAAAAGTTAGGTACTCGTGCCCTGGCCAGTGTGGCCCTGTTGGTTGGGCATTACAGGCATGTGTCAGGGCACATGTCTGGGTTGCAAGCCCAATCCCCTGTAGGGGGGTGGAGGGTGCAGGAGGCAGCCGATGAATGTTTCCCTCTTAGATTGATCGCTCTCTCTTACCCTCACCCTTCCTCTCTCTAAAAATCATGCACTAACCTGTTGGGCTCAGTGGCTAGAGCGTCGGCCTGCAGACTGAAAGGTCCCAGGTTCAATTCCAGTCAAGGGCATGTACCTTGGTTGCGGGCACATCCCCTGTAGGGAGTGTGCAGGAGGCAGCTGATCCATGTTTCTCTCTCATCGATGTTTTTAACTGTCTATCTCTCTCCCTTCCTCTCTGTAAAAAATCAATAAAATATATATTTTTTAAAAATCAATTAAAAAAAACAAACCTAGTACTCATAACACTGTTTTTCTTTGATAGCTTTTTATTTATTTTGAAATGATTGCACACAGAACTGAAAATACAAGGTATAGTCTAGCATCATGGGATTCTTATGAAGAGTAGTAGCTTTTAAATCCAAGAACCACACATTAAAAAGAGCTTCTTTGTTTTCATATGTGGCAGATTTAAATTTTTCTAATTTACTCTATCAATTGCTTTTTAACCCTTTGAGAAAAAATGAAAAGGTCATTCAGAAATGGGAAGCCGAAGATTTAGTAATATTGCAAATATTGTCAGGATCTTAAAAGAAGGGGGTAGAGGGGACTCATTTTTCTTCTACCTAGAGAGTACTTAAGAAGTAATCAAGGCCTAAGAATTTAGAATCCATGGCTACTTCTTTGCATATTTAGAACCTTAGAACTCACGATTCTGTCACAAGCTAATAGTAGGGCTAAACAGTGTTTCTGGGTTACAATCTTAACATAGACATGGAAATAAATTGGGGAAACAAAGGCACATACAGGAAAGTGTATCTGTGAGGGCATTTGGTAAAATCCAATCAGCTTTTACTCTCCAAGGAAATGCAGCAGCACCATCATTTTATTTTTCCCTGATAACCCATCTACCTTCAAATAAATGTTAGTAAAATACAAAGAAAAAAAATGAAAAGGCATTATATTAATTTAACTTTATTTGCTAACTCATCAAATAACTTAAAAATCACTTTTTGAAAATTTTCAAAATGAGCTCCTGCATAATGATTCTCTTTGATTTAATCTCAAAATGCCCAAAATTAATTCAGAATACATAGACATAAATGTCTTCAGGGACTTGATAGACTGTAGAATGTGGTAAGGATTCCAAACCTGGAGATTAATTTTTTTTTTTTTTAATGTTATGGCCAAGCAAAATTTGTGTGCTAGTGGAACTAGGCCCAGTTTATCACTTTGTAACTTCAGGCCTATCTTTCTCTTAACTTATTTTATATGAAACCTGAATTTCATAAGGAAATGAAATGTCTCTTTTGTGAGTTCTACTGTAAGTGTCATTACATATGGCACTATATGAATATTTGGCACTCAACTAAAAATCACATTGCTTATTGCTCTAATTTTTTTGGCAAAGTACCTATTTTAACATTCAAGGCTGGTTACAAAATTACTGTTTACCAACCAGGGCTTTATTATAGTTCCTAAACCTTGCTTCAGTTAGTATTTGCTCTTTCCAACTAACATATATAATTTTTGATGTCTATTACTGTAAGACAGTAAATACTGTGTTTTAAATGTATATTTGATATAGGCTTACTTTGGATTATCTTTCAAGGAGTGAGATAGTTGTATGTTAATAACTAGACTTTCTCAGTTTGTATTTAAAATCTGCAAATATGACATATAGTGTCTTTTTAATATGTCTCTTGATTTTTAAGTGGATTTATAGGTTGAATTGTTTTTCCCAAATAATCTAATATATGTATCTGTATGGTCTTCAGTTAATAAGCCAATTAGTTTATTGTAGACTTAAATTTTTAAATATATGGTAAGTCCAGTTCTCCCCCCTATTTTCTCATTTATTTTCTTATTTTCATTTATTTTTCTAGATAAACTTTAGATACATTCTTCTATGTTCCAAGAACAAATCTTATTTCTGGTTGGAATTAAATAAACCAATAAACCTTTAACTGATATTTTTGCAATTTCTACAAAGAATTAATATTACTAGAAGGGCCACTTGCTGAACTTTCAGTGGTCAGTAATTATAATAGAGGGGTACAGCTCACAAAAGGCCTTTTTGTCATAAAGTTTTTGTTTCATATTCAAAATGATGCATCTAAGCTTATTTTCCTGTCAGGCTTCTTTTGATTAATATTTTGTTGATATTGTTTACACTGAAGTCCCTCAGGATTTTTTTTAAAGCCTTGTTCTCCTAATATACCTTAATAAAGTCTTTTATTTTCTAGTTTTTCTGTAATGAGGTATATTATATTTACATTTAATTTTTAAAGTTCATTAAGTTAAAAAAATGTAAAATTATTTTCTCATGTATAAAATTGTTTCATATATTAGCATTTTTAATGAACTATTGCTATATAATCTTAGGAAGTATTTAATATCATATTTAGTTTAGGAAGTATCCTATCTAATGAAAGTAATATGCAAATTGACCATCACTCCCAACACAGGCTGGCCGCCCCCATGTGGTCAAAGATGGCCGGCAGGATAGGGCAGTTGGGAGGGACCAGGCCTGAAAGGGAGGGCAGTTGGGGACGACCAGGCCTGCCGGGGAGGGCAGTTAGGGGGCGACCAGGCTGGCAAGGGAGGGCAGTTAGTGGTGACTGGGCCAGCAGGGGAGGGCAGTTGGGGTGATCGGGCTGGCAAGGGAGGGCAGTTGGGGGCGACCGGGCCAGCAGGGGAGGATAGTTAGGGGCAATCGGGCCAGCAGGGGAGTAGTTAGGTGTCGATCAGGCTGAAGCAAGTCTTGCAGGGGAGTGGTTAGGGAGTGATCAGGCAGGAAAGCAGGCGAGCAGTTGGGAGCCAGCAGTCCTGGATTGTGAGAGAAACGTCCAACTGCCCAGGCATCCCTCAAGGGGTCCCAGATTAGAGAGGGTGCAGGCTGGGCTGAGGGACACACACACCCCCATGCACAAATTTTGTGCTCCAGGCTTCTAGTATAGCTATATTTTATATTAGTTTAAAATTGATGAATGCCATGGATTGGCTTGGGAATACTAGCCCAAAGCAATATTAACATATATATTTTTTTTACTGTTGGAATTTACAGTGATGCGGTTGACGAAGCCTACTTTATTCACCAATATTCCAGTAACATGTGAAGAGAAAGACTTACCTGGTATGGCACTTACTTTATTCTACTTGCACTTAGGGAAAAATTGGCATCTTGATTGCCTCTATTACCTTCGAATAAGCCCAGCTTTGCCAATTTTATGCTCTTTGCTACATTCTCTGTTCCCTATTTTTGTAGCATGCGAGTCGTAGCCATTGAGTAACAGGTCTCATTTATAAGGTACTATTAATATCCGATGGCAACAGGAGATTTTTATTTTAGGTTTAATAATAATACATTCCATAGTCATAATACTATAAAAATTACATTTGTCTTTAAATGTTCCATCAATGTATATACTAGCATTCCCTTTTTAAAAAATCACTGGAACTTACTACATTTTGTATCACATGACCTTTATTTCCCTTTGTTTCTAATGTTCGTTCTCTGTGAAACCAGAATTTTTTGGCATGCACTAGTTTCATTGAAGATTAGATATTAGATTGTTTAAATATAACTTTTGTGAAGAGATTGTGTTTTAAAAACATCTCTCTTCTAGATAAATATTTATGTAAGTAAAGTTATTTATAAGGTAGAGGTTAGAATTTTATGTTTTTGTCTTTCTATAGGAGATCTCTTTAACCAGCTCATGAGAGATGATCCTTCAACTGTAAATGGTGCAGAAATTTTAATGTTGGGAGAAATGTTGACTTTACCACAGAATTTTGGGTAAGAAAGATGTAGTCACATAAGACATGTAGCAATACTTTAAAGGCATTACAAATCTATAGTTTTCAAAAAAATTAACTATGGGTTGGCAAAGTGCTCATGATCCACTTAAGTGGTAAAAAACCATTTCATCAAAATTATACTATGTGATACTGGTTTTTAAAAAACCGTAAGATATATATGATTTAGAAAAATAAGAGACACACCAAGATATTAATAGTGATTCTTCAGGTGATAGAATTTTAGATTTCTCCATTAGATCTTACTATATACAAGGTTGGGCAAAAGTCAATTTATAGTTGTTCGTATGGAAAATAATACAATAATTAATAATAATATAAGAATAAACTGTTTTGCATACTCACAACTGTAACAATACTTTTGCTCTACTCTGTATTTTTTAATGCCCAGGATTCCTTTTATTTTAACTTATTTAATACAAATGTCTTTCAGAATCACCTCTTTTATTCAACTTCACAGCCCTCTCTCAACGTAAGTTATCAGACTTGGCAGCTAATTAGGAGCTATAAACTTTTTTATTTCTTCTCTTGCTCTTAGCTTATTCTAGATTATTATTGGGGTGGATGCCCCTGATTCCATTCCTTTTGCAACGAAGAAAATTTGACACTAAAAGGTATTTTTTAAGTTTTTATGAAAGGTTTACCGAATGTGGCCATTGACTAGTGTCTTCAAAGCTTAGAAATATATTCATGTAAAAATATATTGTATAAATATATATTTTAAAATATTTTATAGTAGCCGAAACCGGTTTGGCTCGGTGGATAGAGCGTCGGCCTGCGGACTAAAGGGTCCCGGGTTCGATTCCGGTCAAGGGCATGTACCTGGGTTGCGGGCACTTCCCCAGTGGGGGATGTGCGGGAGGCAGCTGATCGGTGTTTCTCTCTCATCGATGTTTCTAACTCTCTATCTCTCTCCCTTCCTCTCTGTAAAAAATCAATAAAATATATTTAAAAAAATATATGTTTAAAATATTTTATAGTATATACTTACAAATGTACATTTTTATAAAATATATTTTATAAAATGCTTACAATAAAGCCACTAGTTATTATTTTTATTAGACTAACTTCGAAAAATCAAATATATCAGTAAAAAAGACTCTGAGGCCAATTACTTGGGTCTCTTCTAGATTCCGGTCATAAGTTTGTTAACAGAAATTGCCTTTTTCTATCTTCTTCAGTAACAAATCTTAAGACTATTAACATGGACCTGATTTCAATGACTTATTCCTAAAGAGACTGGCAGTTGGTGCCATAGTTGAGGGCCATGATTTATAGCATGCTTTATAGATTAAACTGGAGTACCGGTGCATGAAATTCGTGCATGAGTAGGGTCCCTGGGCCTGACCAGTGATCAGGGCCGATTTGCAGGGCGATTGGGGGGGCCCCCTGCTGGCACCGCATTGGCCAGCATGGCGCTGCCCACTCACCAGCTCTGCCACCGCTGCCCGATCAGCAGGATGATTGGGGGCCCCTGCTGGCACCCACCTTGGCTGGCCTGGGGCCTGTGGGCTGGGGGCAGCTCCCGCATTCACTGTCTGCCCCCTGATGGACAGTACGCGTTATAGCAGCTGGTCGTTCCACTGTTTGGTCATTTGCATATTAGGCTTTTATTATATAGGATAAGTACTTTGAATCACATCCTATATACTAAAAAGCTAATATGCAAATCTAACAGCAGAACAACTGGTTGCTGTGACATGCACTGACCACCAGCGGGCAGACACTCAATGCAGGAGCTTCCCTCAGTGGTCAGTGCACTTCCACATGGGGAGCGCCACTCAGCCAGATGGCTGGCGAGTGCAGCGGCAGTGGTGGGAGCCTCTGCTAAGGATGTCTGACTGGGGAGTGGGCCCAAGCCGTCAGTCAGACATCCCCCAATGGCTGAGGGCTCCCCTCCCCCTGTGCAAGACTTCTGTGCACCGGGCCTCTGGTTTAGTAATAAAAGAGCAGCCTAGAGTAAACAAGGAATGTTGAAGCAGTATTTTACCTGATCTCTATCCTTTAATAAATTTTTCTACATTTCAAGTTCCCAGTGGTGTTCAAATAGAATATTTATGATAAATCTTGAATGGATTTCTATGTAAAAATTTATTTTATTTCACAGGAACATATTTTTGGGAGAGACCTTTTCCAGTTATATCAGCGTTCATAATGATAGCAATCAAGTTGTAAAAGATATATTGGTAAAAGTAAGTGACATTCTTGTTTGTGATATATTTTTTAAAACGACTTTTCTATTATGTTTTTTAAACTTAATTAAAATGCATGTTTGATACAGAAATTTTTGTCATCAACAACAAGCAATAATTAAATACCTAATAGTATAGTAAGCTAAGCACAGAATCATTTTCGTTATCCTCAAAGTTTGTGATAGGTTGGGTAAGAAAATGTACCAGTCAAAGGTAAATAGCAGAATGTTTTTGTTAACAGTTTCTGATTAACATAATGAAATTTGAAAGAGGAGGAAAGATTACAGGGGGGATATTGCCTAAATCAGGAAAGCTTATTAGAAGGAAAGGAACACAAGAAGGTCTTAAAAGAATGGTAGGCTTTAGAGAAAAAGACAAGAGGAATTAGGTAATCGGAAGCAGAGACATAGGAATACATATTGTGTTCTTGTAGCACTGAACAGAATTCACTTGATAAGAGTAAGTAAGATTATAGAGATGTGCACACTGTGGAGCATCTTGCAAGCTAGGCTAAGGCTAAGGTTTTTGCCCCTTTTTTTGTTTTTTGAGACAGTGGGCAGTCAGAGGAGATTTAAAATATATATATTTTTTGTTGATTTCAGAGAAGAAGGGATAGGGAAGGAGAGATAGAAACATCAATGATGAGAGAGAATCCTTGATTGGCTGCCTCCTACATGCTCCCGACTGGGGATTGAGCTCGTAACCCGGGCCTGTGCCCTGTCACGGAAATGAACCAATAGGTTGATGCTCAACCACTGAGCCAAACTGGCCAGGCTGTGAGTGGAGATTTTTGAGCAGAAGTATTCACACTATTTTGGAAGACTGATGAAAACATTGTATGGGATGGTTTGTAGGAAATAGACCAGTTAGAAGATTTTTACAGTCATTTAGAAATTAAGAGATAAAATATGCCAACTCAATTAAACAACCTGAAATCTATTTACATAGAGAAAGGGCATAAAGAAAGTAAAAACTCACTCTATGTGAGGGAGAAGTTTTGTAAAAGCTGTCCCAAGTGATGCATTAGATCATTTGAGCGTTACCAGAATGGAAGTCCAATTAGGATGAGTTTGAAAATGATCAATTATTAGAATTGAAAAGGACCTCAGAGAGCAAATATTCCAAATTTCCTATATGACCCAACTTCCAGAAATTGGATGCAAATTTTTGTATACATGTGCATATGTTTGTTATACTATTGATGGGGTTTGTGCCTTTCATTAAATCAGGGGTTGGCAAACTATAATCAGTAGACCAAATTTGGTCCATTGCCTGTTTTTATGACTTTTGAGCAAAGAATGGTTTTTACATTTTCAAATGATTGGAAAGAAACATAGCTTATTTTGTGATGTGAAATTCAAATTTCAGTGTCCATAAAGTTTTATTGACACACAGCCACACTCATTTATTTCTGTATTATCTGTAGCAGATTTCAAGCGTCTCTGGCTGAGTTGTATTTGCAACAGTTTATATGACCTGCAAAGTCTAAATTATTTGCTTCCTGGTCTTTTAAAGTTTGCCAATCTCTGCATTCCATTATGAAAAGGTCTGACTTTCAGAACTTTGAGAATGTATCCTTTTTTCCTGGCATTCAATAAATGTTCTATTTATTTTTATAAGATGAGTAAATTAACCAAGGCATGTAATTTAAGATAAATAAGTATTAAAAAGAGCAAATAATATAATAGCATACTTATAAAATATAAGTATTTTATGTAAGTATTTTGGCTTTATTGAATTTTAATTTTTATAAAGGCAGTGGTGTTTGAAATAACAACAGTAGCAAATGTTTATTGAACAGTGCTATTCCCATCAAGAATCCTCTTTTTTTTAAAATTTATTTTATTATTGAGAGTATTACAGATGTCCCCAATTTTACCTTCTTTGCCTCACTCCACTCAGCTCCCACCTCACCCCAGGCCTTCCCCTGTTTATTGTCTGTGTCCATGGAAAGAATCTTCTTCGTCTTAAAAAGATATTTAGACTTATTATGTACACATAAGCCATTTTTTTATATCAGACTCACGATGACATAGGTAGCATAACATGATATTGGCCTGTATTTTTCTTTTTCATGTTTTCTTTTATCAAGTTTTAGGTATCAATATTATGGTTGCTAAAGGACTTGTATGCATGCATAATAACATAACCAATGGACATGGACACTGAGGTGGTGGGGACTTGTCCTGGGGGGAAGGAGTGGCAGGGGGGGAGATCAGTTGGGGGAAAAAGGAGACATATATAATACTTTAAACAATAAAAAAAAATAATATTATGGTTGCTAAATAAAAGATTTAGGGACATTCCCTTTATTTTCAATGCTTTGGAGCAATACATGGAGCATTTAGACGATCTGATCTTTAAAGGGTTTGTAGAATTCAGTGAAATCATATGGACTGGTGCTGTTTTGGGGGGAAGTTACTTGATAGCATTTTCACTCTCATCCTATGGAGATTAGTATGTATAAGCTTTCTATCACTAATGGTGTAAATTTTGCAAAACTGATTTATTCCAGGAAATGATCCCTTTTATGTAAATTTTTCAAATTTATTTGTATATAGGTCTTCATGGTAGTCTCTGAAAATTTCTTCTGTTTCAGTGCTATTTCTCCCTGGTCATTTTTTATTTTGCATATTTTTGCTTTCTTTTTCTCTTGATTTAGTTTAGCTATCTCTTGGTTTACATATTATGTTTTTTATTTATTACTTTATATATAATGCTTTTCTATTTTCTACCTCATTAATGCTTGCTTTTAACTAGCTCTTTCTTTGTGGTTCTGATTATTTACTTTGTCCTTTTTCTACCTTTTTAGCTGGGGATTTAATGTTTATTTTTATTTTATTTTATTTTATTTTTACAAAAGTGAATTTTCTTCTGATTCACTGGTTTAGGTGTATCCTACAGATTTTGATACGTAGCTTTTTAAAGAATTTTATAATTTCCTTTGTATTTCCCATTCTACCCAAGTTGTTTAAAAGGTTTTTTAGATAGAAAGGCCATTTTAACTTGTTAATAATTTGTAATTATATTATGTCATAATCAGACAGTATTGTTCTTGTAATTTTTCTGTTTTTCACACTTGATTTGGGGTAGCAGTTTTTATCAGTGAGTTGTTTAAATTCTCATTATCTGTTTTCTTTTTTTAGTGTTTTTGTATAGATGAACACTGTTGATGGCTTTGCATTCTGTGCAGTTTGAAGATTTTTTAAATACCAAAGTCAAGAATGCCCTTTATAGCAGTGTGAGCCTTTCGTATTTAATTTTGAATTCCCATACTACCTGGCTGATTTTATTTTGTGGTTTTTTTGTGTGTGTGTGCATGTGTGTGTGAACCATTGCCATGGTTCTGAGTGTCAGAGCTATACAGAAAGACTTAGGCAGAGAAGTCTTGCTCCTCCTTCATCCTACTTCTGTGTTCCTATTCTTTGCAACCATACCGATCCTCGCCATCTAAGTAACCAGTCTCATTTGACTATTTCTGGCCACTTTCTTTCAAGGCTGATCTTCAGACAAGCTCTCAGCGTTTAAATCTTTCTGCCTCCAATGCTGCAGTGTCTGAACTGAAACCTGATTGTTGTATTGATGATGTCATACACCATGAAGTAAAGGAAATTGGAACACACATGTAAGGATTATTTTTACTAGTTTTAGAAGGCTTTGCTTTATATATGCCTTTATTTGAAACTTTTGCTTTATTTCCAGTTGTCATTAAACCTAATGCCTACTTCAGAAGGAATTTTATGTTTCATGTTTACATTTTATCAGAACCAACTTTGTATGTATTTCAATGTTAAAGCTGTATTTTTCTTTCAATCTGAGAAGCAAATATGAACATTTCAGCCATCTAAAGTAATTTTATATTTCTCTACTGCCTTACCACTTAATTAATTCACAAATTCTCTAAGGTCTTATACTCATCTTTCATTACCATCTCTTCTTCATCTCCACTTACATCACCATTTTTGCCTCTCCTCTTTTTTAAAAAAATATATTTTTTTATTGATTTCAGAGAGGAAGGGAGAGGGTGAGAGACATCACCATTTTTGCCTCTCCTCTTTTTAAAAAAATATTTTTATTGATTTTAGAGAGGAAGCGAGAGGGAGAGAGAGACAGAAACATCAATGATGAGAGAGAAACAATGATTGGCTGCCTCCTGTACTTGTTCCTACAGTGAGCATTTTGAGAGAAGTTACTGTGGTGTGTTGTTTGTTTCTTTTGTGTGTTAATCCTCACCCGAGGATATTTTTTCCATTGATTTGTAGAGAGTAGAAGGGAGGGGGTAAGGGAAAAGAGAGAGAGAAACAGCCATGTGTCTCACATCAATTGGTTGCCTCCCACACACGACGGGCCAGGGATGGAACCTGTAACCCAGGTATGTGCCCTTGAACAGGAATCGAACCTGCTACCCTTCATTGCATGGGCCAATAGTCTAACCGCTAAGCCATGCTGGTCAGGGCCAAATACTGTGTTTTGATCAATACTATGTCCCTAGGGCCTGGTTTAGTACCAGGCATAAGTATAAAGGAGAAGTTAAATTAGCTATAATGTCATCACCTAGTATAGCCAGTCTTAAAATATTGCTGTATTTCTTTTCATTCTTTTCTATGTGCATATAAGTAGCAGATGTGTATAAATAATTTATGTAATATTTTACAAATGTCATATTACCTGTGGTTTTGTCTTCTTCAGTTCACTGTAAATATTTTCCCTCTTGAGTCAGTAATCTTTGAAACACTTTTTTTTTTTAAAGGATAGTTTATTGACTTTTAGACATGCAGGAAGGGAGAAGGAGAGAGAGAAACATCTGCTATAAGAGCATAACATTGGTTGGGCATCGTCCTGTGAACTGAAAGGTTCCTGGTTGGATTTCCCAATCAGGGCATGTGCCTTGGTTGCCAGCTCAATCCCTAGGGTTACGTGCAGGGGGCAGCCATGATGTTCCTCTCTCATCAATGTTTCTGTCTCTCCCTCTTCCTTCCTCTCTCTCTAAAAATCAATGAAAGCATTTTTTTTAAAAGGAACACAACTAAAAATGATTCAGAATGATTAAGACATCTTTCTATTTCAGCCTGGTGTGTGCAGTGAGTTACACAACTCAGGGCGGAGAAAAAATGTATTTTAGAAAATTCTTCAAATTTCAGGTAATAGAATATGTCAGTGGTAAATGTTTTTATGTGTGTGTGTGTGTGTGTGTTTTAAGTTTAGTTATTTCTATTTATCTACAGTGAAAATAGGCTCCGAATAAAGCAAATAATATTTTTGGACTTGTTATATTGCTAGCAATCTAAAGTTAGATGTAAGTAAGTTAATTAAAAGCAGAGAAATTGTCATTACCAATCTATAATAATAAAAACATAACATGCTAATTAGACCGGACATTTTTCGGGCAACATTCCAGATGGAGCCAAGGCTGCAAGGGCTGAGCCCTTGCACCAATTTCGTGCATCGGGCCTCTAGTGTACCAATATGATGTTCTTGTAATGAAACTTGAAGATTTTTACCCCCTGCATTTTTTATTGTTTTTATAACTTCACAAAGCACACATGAAGAGGGGGGGAGAAATGATTGACAAGTCTTGATAAAATAAGTGTAATAAATTTTATCAAATTTATACGGAAATATTTAAATGAGAAATTATTGACTTGGGCTGAGTACACCAAGGTTCATCATGGACTATAGGAGAATTTTGTATTTATACACAATTTTCAAAGTCAGTAATCAAAAATAATTTAAAAACCACTGTTTAACATATGTATGTGTGTCAGCTGGAGACAAGCCTACCATGTATGTCTATATATAGATCTAGCTATGATGCTATATATATTTTTGTATTCCTTTAAGTGAAAGAAAAAGTATTGTCAATAGGAAACATATTTTGCTATTGCTTTGCTACATTGCCCATTTGTTTAAGATTCTACATGCCTTTTGAAAAAATAAAAGGTGTTTGAGTTGCTTAATTTCGTAAACATTTTTTGGTAAAATAAACATATAGAAAAATACTGAAATAATGTGTTCAGTTTAGTCAAATGTAATGAAGTAAAACCCAAGTAGCTATCACCTAGTCAAGAAATGATGGTTGCCTTTTTAAAGATGCATTTAGGATTATATTAGGGTTTTTTGTTTTTGTAAGAGTATTGCATACGTATTAGAAAAGTTTTTTAGACAAATAAATTGGAAAATGGCTTTGACACATTTAAGCCCTACTATTTAAAACAAGCAAACAAAAACAACAGCTGGTCAAATGATAAGAATCTCCTGCTTGATATGCTTTATTCAACTAGGTTCTCAAACCACTGGATGTGAAAACCAAATTTTACAATGCAGAGGTAAGTGTTGGGCACGTAATAATTTGGATAAAACATTAAGATCTTTTTTGACTAAAATTATGTATTACTTGTCTTTTCATATTTAAATCAATTGCTGATAGTACTGCAAATTGTGAAAAATGAGCATAAAGTTCAATCAAAAGTGAATAATTTCATTGTAGATCACTTTAATCTGCTGTTTTCAACTTACATGGAATCAGTATGATTTTTATTTTCATTGGTAATTTTGTGAAGCTTTCACCCCTTTCATTAAATGATTGCCCTATGATTCCAATTAATGGTTCTTATTACTGTTTAAAAACATCAGCAATCTGCTGAATATTTACAATGTGATTCCAATATTTCAAAAACTGAAGTGGTAGCTCTAATCCTGCAAAAAAGATTTAATATTTACATGGAAAATACTGATAAGTAGAGCTCAGCGGTATAAAGTTTGTTCTACAACTGGGCATACCAAAATATATAAGATAAGGAACCTGACCTACAGTAAAGACCTATGAGGAGGAAAAAAACACACATATAAAATAACAAAACTAGCTACTGGAGTATAAAGTGAGCCTAAGAGAATGATATTAAAAAATGTGCTACAGGACCTCTGGGGAGGAGATTTTGGAGTAGTCTGAAGAAACATCATGGAAGAGGAGGGAAACTGAGCAGAGTCTGGAAGAAGGAATGTTGGGGAGCTCAAGTGTCAGAGCAGGGAAGGCATTCCAAGCAGAGTTGCCCATGCACATGGGACCTATAGTGAAAAGAGTACATATTTGATGGGAGGGTAGAGTCACATCAAGGAGATTCCTAGATGTTTGGGGTTTTTTTGTTTAATATATTTTTATTGATTTCAGAAAGGACGGGAGAGGGAGAGAGAGATAGAAACATCAATGATAAGAGAGAATCATTGATCGGCTGCCTCCTGCACGCCCTGCACTGGGCATTGAGCCCACAACCTGGGCATGTGCCCTGACTGGGAATTGAACCACAACCTCCTGGTTCATAGGTCAACACTCAACCACTGAGCCACGCCGGCCAGGCTACTAGATGTTTAAAGAGTTGACATTTCTTTTTGGGGTTAGGGGAGTTGGAATACTACATAAGTGCTCCACCTTTTTTGTTATTTAATACGTAATTTTGATTAATTGCAGTATTAGCTATTTGGCTTGGTGAATTTTAAATATTAATTTATTGCTTTGATAGGAAAGATTTCATTCCTAGTAGGAGGGGAGATTGGTAACTATTCTGTTAAACTAGATATGTTAGAAAGTGAAAAATAAATAGGGCTGTAGGTGGGTCTTTTTTTCTATAAGTGGCTCATAGGAAAGTACATGTTGAGATATTTGGGGTTTTCTTTGTTGAAAATATGTTGCTGTATTCAGATACTTGACAAGTAGTTTTATAATACTTGTCACTTATTCAGTGATTTGTGAATAGTTTTATGAATTGCTAGTTACTCCATGAAAAATATAAAAGTGACTTACTCCCATAAAAGAAAAAAAAAACCACAATTTCACCACACCAAAAAGTAACTGACTTTTCATTAATCCATATTCTCTTTCAGTCTTTACTCATTTATACGTAATATTCTGTTTTTATAATCATAGTAACAATTTTATTTACTGCCTTTTTTAGCTAACATTATATGTAAATAAACATAAACTTTAAACTTTTGCCAACAAACTTCAGAACAAAAGTTTTAGTAAAATTCTGAACTTTTGAAAATAGACATCTCTTTAAAAACCAAGAGTATCCAAATAGGTTGAGTTCTGTTGACCCCAACTAGGAAATTCAAGGAAATGATAGGAGTTAGTAAATCACCCTAGACAGTAGGTGATACTTTTTATACTCTGTGCCATAGTCCTTACACAATAACTAAAATTAGTCCAACATTTGTCACAGACATTTGTATGCTGTTTCTAAGAATTCTAATAACATATGAGTCACCTAAAGAAAAACAAGTTTTTATGAAAATGTTGTCATAGTCTTCTAAAATAGAAAAGCCTCACAAGAAGTGACATTAGATGTTGGGATTCAAACATTTGGTCACCTGCTAGGTATAGAGCTCCATGCCAAGTGATGAAGAGAAATAAACTGAACATCTTCGAAATCCTCAAGGAACTTAGGTCTTATGGAGGGGAGTGGCCTGACATAGCTACAGTATAGTATAAGCACCCCTCCCCCCTAGATCATGAAGTGTACTAATACTCTGAGAACATAGAGAAGTGAAATAAGATTTCCAGCTATGTATTTGACAAAAAAAGGACATTTGAGATGACCCTTGATAATGGGTAACTTTAGAAATATATTAAAAAGAAAGACTCACTGAAATCTATTAACAATAGAATAAATTCTCAGTAGTCTGTGGTCTAGCCCAATGTTCTCTGAAGTGTGATCCATAGAATTTTAATCACACAAGATGCTCCTTGAAAAAAGAATTCCATTATTAGATAAATTTAGGAGAAGCTCTTCATTATAAATATTCTGAATGTGGAGGACAGTGTATGTCCATTTTAAGTAATCTATGAAGAATTACAATGTAGTAAAGAATTTATAGAACTAGAAAGGCATAGAATATACTTTTCTCCCCCAAGATGTGCCCTTGAGTATTTGCTCCTATTAAGTACTCACCTATCATGTTCATCTCTATTCATTTAACCTTAGTAGTTTCACCTGTTTAGAAAAATGATTTGTCATATTCCTTTATGTAGCTTTCTGTTTACTTTCTTGTTTTACTAATGCTGTCTTGTATAGTAAATTAAAAAAAATGCAGAGATGCATTTTATTTTAAAGTTAGTTATTCTTTTTCTTTAACATTTAATTCTGATTTTTCTAATTTTTCTTTTTTATTTTTCCATTAGAGTGACCTCAGTTCTGTGGTAATTTGATTTTTTATTATAAATTTATATGCTTCTCTTACTCACCACTTTTTTACTCTGTCTAATTAATCTCTCTTTACAAACATAGTGGGAAAATAAAGTTAGTATGAATACCAGCTATTTGACTTCAAAAAGATGTATATAATTTTTGTACTTTTCAACTTTACATTAATTATCTTATTCTGTGAGAAAAAATAGATCAGAGATTAAATTATCATATTGAAACAATTATATTCTCCTTTTTAGTGCTTTTCCCTTAAGTGTTTTTTAAAAGAGACATGTTAACCTTGTTTAAAATAGCCTTGGGATTTTCAATATCTTACTATAAAATACCCTACTAGTACTTCAACTCTTTGAATAAACTATCTAGTTTAAATTTATCTTCAAAGGCACAGTGGTTTCAGTTTTAAGTCTGGGTCAGGTAAAGATGGCCCCTTTGATAACAGTAAACAGAAGAAAATCAAATTTTCCCAAGTTGGCTAAAATCATATTTTCAAATTTCTATTTACTGTAAGCATTACTTGCTTATGCAATGTTACATTGTATACATAATAACAATATCAACTGCCATAGCACTGAATTCTTTATTTTTCAAATGTCAAATAATTTTATACTAACTATTCAAACTAACTTAATTTTCCATTATGCTGCTTGTTTTTCTTTCATTTTATCTAAACTCTTCCTAATTTATGCAGAAAATTGCACTTTTCAAATTGAAATGTGGATCTATGGTTATTTTTAAAGCAATGGATTGATGGGATATATTTAGGATTCTTTTGAGAAAAAGTAGCAGAATAATGCCTTTAAATTAAGGTATATTCTTTTAAACTGCTACATCATTATATTTCTGTTTTCATTTGAGCACATGTGCCAAGAACTAAATAATTTGTTTTATTTTAGATAATAATACATTAAAATACAACCTTATTATATTTGCAAATGATTTTCATTTTCTGGACTTAGTGTTTAAAGGCTTCTAAGTGCCAAGATATTTTGGTCATTGTGTGTGTGTGTGTGTGTGTGTGTGTGTATGTGTATATAAGTTTATGTACATATACACACACACATATATACACACACACATATATATATCACATACATATGTAACTACAAAATTTTGAACAAATTCATTCTTGAATATCTTTATTATTTCTTATATAGGTTAGTTTATAAAATAAACCAAATTATCTGTTATCCTTCAATTACATGCACAGAAAATAATAACCAAATAGCATAAAAAGAATGTTTAACATAATCAGAGAGTAAAATTTTTTTTATAAAAGTACTTATTTAAATTACCCATTGATTAAAAATACTGCTGAATAGCATCACTTTTCAAATCATCACTAAGTTCAAAATACCTTTTGTTTTGTTTAAAAGTTCTAAAATTGTCAGGTGTAATTCACATATTTTTTACCTTAAATTTATATTTTAAATGAACCAAGAAATTACTAGTGGCCACTAACAAATTGCTTTAATTAAAGTTAAATTCTATAAGATTATATAAAATACATTATTCACGGTATTAGTGGTCTCTATACTATCTAAATTGAAGCAGTATGACAAAGTTATATTATGCTCAAATGTTATAAAGACCAAATTATCTTTTTAAAAAATATATTTAATTGATTTTTTACAGAGAGGAACGGAGAGAGAGTTAGAAACATCGAAGAGAGAGAAACGTCGATCAGCTGCCTCCTGCACACCCCCTGCTGGGGATGTGCCCACAACCAAGGTACATGCCCTTGACCGGAATCGAACCTGGGACCCTTCAGTCCACAGGCTGACCCTCTATCCACCGAGCCAAACCGGCTAGGGCAAGACCAAATTATCTTAATGTATCACTATGAAATGATAGGTACGCAGGTATGCTAATCATACTAAATTTCATTTTAACATATTAATAACTTATACTAGAAGATTTAGGGTATTTGTGAATGAAATTCCAGTTAAATAAATATTTTTTTTATCTTAATACAAAAATATCATAGTTATCCCCCATCCATTGTTTGACAAGTTATCAATTGACTAACACTTGACTTTGCCCCTGTTAATTATGTTAGGATGAAGATTTCTATTCTTGCATTAATTTTGATAACTTTGACTTTCAGGCATGAACTAATCACATTTGTGGTTAATATTTTTTCTTCGTATAGATCAGTATTTTGTTGAGGTTAATATTTTAAATAGCATACACTTTGGTGGATATTTTTTCATATTCTCAGACCGATGAAGTATTTCTTGAAGCCCAGATTCAGAATATTACGACCTCACCCATGTTTATGGAGAAAGTTTCATTGGAGCCATCTATAATGTACAATGTAGCAGAATTAAATTCAGTCAACCAAGCTGGTGAATGGTAAGTATGAATTATGAAGTGTTTATTTTTATTTTGAAAGGTATAAACTCTTCTGATATCTGTTACTCTTGGATGGTTTTTAATTTTTTTAAGTTAGTAGACTTTATTTTTTTATGTTCATAGGAAAATTTGATCCAAAAGCAATTTCCCAGTCAGAGCGTCCTAGTATTACATGTTGTTTTAATGTGGCACATTTGTTCCAATTGATGAACCAATATTGATACTTACAATTAACCAAAATCCATAGTTTACATTAGGGCTCAATTTTTTGTGTTGAACATACTATGGGTTTTGAGAAGTGTAATGACAAGTATCCACCATTATGTTACTCAAAGTAGTTTCACTGCCCTGAAGATGCCCTGTGCTTACCTGTTCATAAAAATAAAGATCCTAGTTATTTGCATTTTATGTCTTACTATTTGAAGCACTTGTTCTTTTAATTTTTATAATAATTCAGTGAGTTAAATGTGAAACCTTCATCTTCCCCTGCAAATGATAAAACTGAGGCATGGGAAGGAATGATGAAGGGATTAGAAATGGTGAGTTTTAAGAAGAAATATTCAGTCATCATCAAAAGGAGAGGGCATAGAAATAGATGATTGAATTTTTTGTGAAAACAAAAACATATATCTTTCTATAGGTAATTTAGAAAAATAAGTAAATGTAGGTTTGACATTAATATGGATAAGAAGGTAAAGTG